GGGCAAGGCCAACAGGGCTGCCAAGTGCTCAGCACCACCGGGATCTTGGCGGCAACAGTCAGGGGCTGTCTGTCTGGGAGGACCAGGGCTCCGGAAGGCCGGTGGGGCAGAAAGAGCAGAGGCGGCCAGCAGGGCCATAGGGCTGGTGTTTGAAACCAGCTCTGCAACTTCCTAGCCAATTGACCTTTAGCAAACCCCTTGGTCCCTTCTGAGGGTCAGTTTCCTCCTCCATGAAAGGAGAGCAACAACACGAGCCGCGATCAGCAGCAGCAGGAAGGGCCTGGGCAGCACTGAAGCAGTCGGTTGTTTTCTAATGATCCCAATGGACCATTTGTGGACAGTGGCTGGAATATTTGCTTTCCCTGAATGCCTGGACCCCACCTGGGTGGGAACCTGTGTCTGGGGGGCACTCAAACAGGACAGAGGATGACCAAGAGATGAACCAAGCTGGAGGTGGCAGAAATAGCATGGGGCTGTTAGAAATGTCCGAGTGCCTGAGAGAGCACATGAGCCACCACCTTTTTGCAGTTCCTGATGAAACGTCCTTTTTGGAGCAGAGAGCAGAGTGGGCTCTCCTGACAAGTGACTTCAGAGGTGGGAGGCTGCCGCTGTGCAGCTGCTTCTCCAGACCCCTGGCGTCTTGGGCAAGTGGGCCTTGCCCGGCCCGGGCAGCCAGCTCCCCCGGATCCTGGAGGGGAACCCACGACAGCTGGGCGGAGTCCGGTGTCTGTGCCTCTCATCCCAGTCTGGACGTCTAAATTTAACCTGCTATCAGCCCGGCAGGCTGGAGGGCTTCCACTCTGTGACTAAATGCTACTTGGCATCCACTCTACTCACAGCCACCCTCCCTGCACGTTTTCCTCCCCAAACTGTTACCCACAAACTCCCTGTCCTCGCTCAGCTGCACACTGGATGAGGACTGGTATTCCTGAATGCCCTTGGCTTTGTGCTGGTGTGGTCCAGCTTGACTTTCTGCTCCTGCTGGTGAGGCCTGCACCCCGTTCTCTGTGCACAGGCTTGCACGAGCACACACACACCCCATGTCTCATGGGCAGAGCTCAGGAGCTGACTCCACAACCATAAGCCAAACCACGATGGTGAACGGCACCACCCAGAAGCCCGCTGGGTGGAGGGCAGCGAGCGAGGCCTGTTATGCAATTTCCTGCTTTGGTGTCTCAGACCCAGGAGGCCAGATGCAGGGAGCCATTGGGTTGCTGCAATGTGGAGAACCCAGTCAGAAACCAAACTCCCGAGCCCAGAGCGAGCGGGGGCTCCTGGTCCCCGTGGTGGTGTGGAGAGGCCAGCACCCACCTGGAGGGTGGGCCTGTGGCCTGCAGTTGACCAGCCAGGCCCTCCTCAAGGAAATGAGATGGGCTCATGGGCCAGAGAGAACTGACTACACAGGGACTTCCAGAGCCCAGGAAGAGGGGCCTTCCTGTCCTGGGCACCCCAGGATGGAGGGAGCCGATGGCGTGCAGCCTTCTTGGTTTTGTGGGTTGTTTTTTTGTTTGTTTTTTGTTTTTTGTGTGTGTGTGTGTGTTGTTTTTTTTTTTTTTTGAGACATTCTCACTCTATCACCCCAGCTAGAGTGCAGTGGCATCATCACAGGTCACTGCAACCTCCAACTCCTGGGCTCAAGCCATCCTCCTGCCTCAGCCTGCCGAGTAGCTGGGACTATAGGCATGGGCCACCATGCCTGGCTATGGGGACTTCTTAATAATCCCTGGGCACCAAACACGTGCCCCACAGGCTGTGAGCAGTGCTAAGAAGCTGACTCTCGAGCAGGGTCTGAATCCTGGCTCTGCCTCCTCCTGGATGCGTGGCCTCAAGCAGCTTCCTGACTCCCACTCCCCTGGTTTCCTCATCTGCGAAATGGGGGTTGCGATAACACCTGCCTTGGGGAGTTGTCATGAGGATGCAGTGTGTTCACACCCAGAAACAGGGTAGGGCAGTGTGTACACACCGCATTGGCCAGGAGTCAGCTACTCCAGGAAGCCCCATTTTCCATACACGGTAACTGGGCTCAGGAGGCCAAGTGTCTTACGCGAGCTCACACAAATGGCCTTGAAGCATGGTCTGCCCTCAGAGCCCACCCCCGGGACCTCCAGGGCCTCTAGCCATCCTTACATAAGAAAGTTCCGATTGGAAGGAGAGGGCGTCCACTCCCAGTGCTCTGGGCTCCGTGACCCCTCATCAGCTGCTGGCCGAGGGCAGAGCACAGAGCCATGGCCCAGGCTGCCACTGTGCTACTGTCTTCCACAGGTCTACAGTACGACCCAGGCTACGGCCCAGTCTAAACACCAACCATCCTGCCATAGGAGTTTTCTAACGTTTGCCATAAAGCCAAACTGCCCCAATTCCTAGCTCGACCTCCAAGCCTGCCACCCTCCTCTGGGCAAGGGCACTTCTAGGTGTAGGACTGAGGTCCCAGAGCTGCTCTGGCTGGAGCCAGGACTGTGGCCAGAAGCGGGTGGAAGGTGCAGTGCATTCACCGCCTGTTGCTGCCTTCTGTCTCCCTGGCCCTGAGCACAGGGGTCCCAGCCTCAGCCCGTCCTCCCCGCCCCCCAAAAATGCCCAGCCTCATGGCCAGCCATACCCAGTCAGCAACCCCAGAATGGACGGACACTTCAGAAACATCCAGATCCTAGCCAAGCCTACTTTAAAATCACATTTTATTTCTTTACGAATATTTGTGTTTTTTTCTTAAAAAAAAGGTTTATTTAACATTTTCATTAAGAGTCTTGTGCCTCCTGGTAAGTGCATTGGTTTGTTTTCACAGTACTCTCCACGGCCAAGGATGGTTCTTATTGCTGGAAGGAGTGAGTGAGTATCCGCGCCAGGGTGGGGCTGGGGGGAGCATCAGAGGACTGGGGCGGGCAGGAGGCCAGGGTCTGCGCCCCCACATGAGGACAGAGGCTGAGAGACCCAAGCAGAGCCAAGCGTGCTTGGCCGGACCTGCAGCCTGAGGCAGGTGGGGTGGAAGTCAGCCAGGGAGCAGGTGGACTGGGGGCCGGCACAGGAGTGAGGGGCGGGGCTCCGGCTTCTGCCTTGCATGTTGTTCACACTCAAGAAATGCGGGTTTGGGGCCCCTTGGCTCCAGAGCAGCTCAGGACCCCTGCCTGTCCTCCCCGGCCCCACCTCCAGTAAGAACACTTTTGTGATGCCCCAGCCCAGTATGGCAAACCCCTTCCTGACCCCTAACAGGGCCCCAGCTCCTCTAGTACAACAAAGACCTGAGTTGTAGGGGGGCCTCTCTCCAGGCCGGCCCCTCCCCAGCTTGCCCTCGGAGGTACAGCTGGGACCGCGTGGTTCCCCCACTCAAGGCTGCCTCTCTGGGTGGCATTGCCTCCATCCTCACAAACAGGAACCTACAGTTTCTGGGGGGAGGTCCCAGCCCCACCAAGGGCCCCTAAGCACCGCGCCAGCTGGCCTCCGGGCAGGAGCTGGGCTCTAAGACTGACTGGCAGAGGCTGACTGGACATTAAGCACCCCTTGAATAAATACATCACGTGGACGCAGGAGCAGGGCGAGGATTCAGGCACCCACACCCTCCCACGCTGTCACTGAGACTCCTACAAGTGGCTCATCTGTAGCAGAAATGGGGTATTTTTCTTATCCGACGATGTTCTGTGCTTGAATATTATTAGTGTGCATGCAGCCCGGGGTGGGGCTGGGGGTTTGGCAAGCTGGCAGCGGTGGCCCTGGGCAGAGCCTGCAGGCAGACATTGCTCAGGACCAAGGAAGTCCTGCGGCTTCAGCAGGAGGGTGGGTCCCGGAGACTGGCCACTTGATATCTGTCCTCACCTGATGCTGTCACTGTGCCAGACCAGCCTCCAGAGTGGCTCTGACACCTCTCCCCAGGCCCACTCAACCCTCCCAGCCCTGGGCCTGCGCTTACTTCTTTGAGGACACAAAGCAGAGGGTGGGCCGACTGTCCCCCCAGACTTCCTGGATCAGGGGTGCCTCGGCCCTCAGGCCCTCTGCAGCTGTCACCTGCCTTGTCACCAGCACTGAGAGCCTATCCAAAGCCCCCACCCCACCCAGGAGAGCCTGGGAGCAGCAGCCCTTGAAAATGAGCCCTGTCCTGGCTCCTCTGCAGTGCGCTAGAGGACAGCCAGCCAAGGGTGCTGGGGCCACCAGTTCGAGTCTGAAAATGCTGTGCAGGGAGGGACGTGCATGCCTTTCTTGAGGGCTGGCCCCTGGCACTTGGGAACAGTATGGGTGGAAGAGGAAATGCCACACACTTGGAGGATAGTCCAGGGACCCATCTGTGGGCAGGTCCTGAGGACAGAGAGGGTGAACATCCCCTGGGCCCAGCCGGGGCGCACGGGACTCCCTCCTTCCTCTAGAGCCGCCCAGGGCAAGTTAAGGCTGCGGAGAAAAGAAAAGAAAAAAAGAAGAGGGCGCCACTGGCAGAACTGCCCCGCCAGAGCTCATGGCACCTCTCCACAGGTGGGGGCTCTACCTGGGGGTGGACAGAAGGGGCTGTTGGGCAGAGTCTGCCTGTGGTTTTGTTTCTGCCGAAAGGAAAGAATAAGCAGCTGGTCTCAGGTCTAAATGTCCATCCTCGCCCTTCTCCCAAGACAAGTGGGTGGGCTCAGGGGACGCCCCCCGACCCGGCCCCTCCCTGTGCGGCAGATGGAAAGTCCCGCAGAAGAGATCCTGCTTTTCTGTGTCTCCTTCTTCCTTTGAATTCAGCTTAAGGCAAAAGTTTGGCAAAGCAAGTCTACTGTAAGGCCTCATGACAGAGGATGAGGGGAGCAGTGTGGGAGGCCGGCCGGCGACAAATGCCCACCGTGCGGACACGGCGGAGGCCTGCGCGTTCCGTGTAACCAGCTCCTCCTCCTCCCGCCCTGAACCTCATAAAGAGGGGTTTACAAAAAGAACTGGAATAGCAGTGTCTCGGGGAATCTGTGAGAAAAGGAAAGGAAGGGGGACCAGAAGTGGCCCTAGAGGGCGCACGCGGGGTCTGTCTGTCCCGCGTGGGTCTTCCCTTCCGCGCGAGGCCAGCCCAGGGCACGAGCACAGTGAGAGCCGCCCGCTGAGAAGGTAGGATGGTTGTATTTTGCTGAATGACGCAGAGCACGTTTGGGTTTTGTTCTGAGCAGTATTATTATTTGTGAGTCTAACCTAGCGGGTCACCCTGACCGTTACCGGTGCTTGGGCGGGATCACCACCAGCGGCTGCCCGTACTTGGGCCGCCACATGAGGACCTGAGCATCGTTGGCATTGGGCTTGACCAGGGCGCTGGGCGGGATGGGCTCGTTCTTGCTCAGGATTTTGGGCTGGTCCTGGGCGATGGGCTCCCGTAGCCGCGCACGCTGGCCCAGGGGTCGGTGGGGGTTCACGTCAATGCTGAGCTGCATGCGCCAGTGCAGCGTCTGCAGCACGATCATGTCGTTGGTCGAGGTGTTGGTGGCCACCAGCCACGTGATGAAGCTCTGGTCCCGGTAGATGTTGGTCAGTTTGGCCACATTGCTCTCACTGACCGGAACGGCCCACGTGACGCTGGGATAAAAGTTGTCATTCATGCTGATGATGAACCTGGAGTCTCTCTTGGTGGGGCCCACGATGGTGCATGTCTCCGTGGTGTTGCCATACCAGGGGTAGTTCACCCCGTCTGAGTCGCTGATGGCTTCAATCTTGCCCTCCTGGAGGTCGGGGAGCTCCCAGCTGGACCTGGGGACAAGGAAGGCCAGTTCACTCGCTTGGCCACTCAACAAGCGATTTCTGCATCCCGTGGTGGGCCAGGACCAGGGGCTGTCCTGGACCCTGAGGATAGAATGGACACCCTTCTGCACTTACCTTCTGGGGGGAGGTCAGACAGACAGCCAGTATCAGGTTGGGTGAGCGGGGGGGTCCCCCGGATACAGGCTCCTCAAAACTACATGCCGTTCCCTGGCACCATCCCAAATCAGAACCCCCCCGGAACCAGTGCTCCCTCTTCAGCCCCAGAACCATTTCAGACCAGGACTGGATCCCAAGTGGGACCTGGGACAGCCCTAGCTTGTCACTTGGAGGAACCTGGTGCTGATCGGCAGGAGTGAACCTGGCACGCACCTGGCGCCAGGCTGAATGCTGCGCCCCCACCCCGTGTGCCAGCACGCGCACAGCGGCCTCCAGACACTGGTGGGATGGCCACAGGCAGCCTAGTACAGCCCTGCAGCCTTGGTTAGGGTGGCGGCCGTGGGCTCTGAGGGGCTGGGGGACTCTCCCAGGCCACATAGTGTGTCAGGGTGGGCGTGGATGGGGACACATGTTGACCTGGCCCCAGCCCTAGAAGGTGAGTTTCCCTCTCCAGTTTTAGGGGCTGAAAGAGGCTTCAGAGGCCAGTGGCCTTGAGTCAACATATCTGGGAATGATTCTTGGCCCCTTGCTGACCAGCGTGTGACCATAGGCATATGCCCAGCCTCTCTGGGCTTCACTGACCTCACCCCTACATCCCCTCCACCTCTCCCAGGCCAGAGCCAGCACGAGGAGGGTCCTGGGGCCAGGGGCTGCCCACCTTCTGCTTGCGTCAGAATTGTTCCTGCCTGGTGGGCCCCCTTTTTTGGAGCACTAGAACGAGAGGAGACCTGACCAAGGCCCTCCTGCCCAAACGCTGCGCTCAGTCCCAGCCTGGCACAGCTCCAGGGTACTCCGGGGCTGGTTGGCAGAGGGCTTTGCTGCAGTGGCTGGGCCAGGGGGAGCCCGCACTTCCAGTGACCGAGGCCGGTCTGAGTAGAGACCACCGCTGCCCAGCACACTGTCAGCCTGACTTGCTTTTACCCACGGGGGCCCAGGGAGGCCTCAGCCCACCCCCTCAGTGGCATGAGACCCTAGGCAAGGTCCCACCCCCACTGGACCCCAGACTCCTCACACACCCCAGGTTCACTGCGAGGCCTGTGGGCAGGACCTCCCCAGCCTGTAATTGGCATCTGTCAGCATCACTGTCGTCACTGCTGCTGTTATAATAATAACCCTCAGACAGAAGAAGACCAGCCAGCCTGTCCCAAGTTGCTCTGGGGACATCCAATCCCACGCTCCCATGCAGAAGCGGACACGCTGGCGTCCGGGGAGCCCACCCCAGGCTGTGGGGCCCCTTAGCCTTACAGACTCAGGGACAGTCATCTCCATCTGGCCCCACCCTATGGGAAAGAAGTGGGGGCTGGTGAGGCGACTTTTCCCCAAGGAGATCTGGCTAAGTAGTGGCACCTGGGACCTGGGGGCCTGGCCTGGTCCGTCCTGGGCACACTGAAGCCTGGGACACCCTGAGCCAGCACGCTGTCTGCACACCCACGTGCACAGGGGGCTCTCCAGGAACCAACGTCCTTTAAAACTGCATTCTGTCCCCAGCACTGTTCACAACAGCCAAAAGTGGAACCCCCGAGTCTATCGGCAGATAAAAGTGTGAACAAAATGCGGTCCCGCCACGAATGGACTATTCTTCAGCCTTAAAGAAGGAAATTGTGACCCTTGCTACAGCACGGATGAACCTTGAGGACATTACGGTAAGTGAAGCAAGCACAACCCAAAATGACAAGTCCTGTGCGATTCCACTTGTATCAGGTACCCAGAGCAGTCAAACTCATAGACAGGAAGTGGAAGGGAGGTTGCCTGGGGCTGGGGGAGGCGGGTGGGCAATGAGTGTTTCCTGGGGACAGAGTTGCAGTTTGGGAAGATGAAAAAGTTCTGGAGATGGATGCAGTGACGGCTGCACAACAACGTGAATGTGCTTAATGCCACTGAACTGTACACTTAGGAATGGTTAAAATGGCAAATTTTATGTTGTGCGGGCTTTACCATAATAAAAAACGCATTCCTCTACTGAAATGCATCCTCCCTGCCTGGCCCCCAAGGGAACCTGGCAGCCGCTCAGCCTCATGTGTCTGAAGCACTAGCAGTCCCTGAGACCTGGGGGTCCCCATGGCAGTGGGTGGGGGGATGACAGGCCTGAGCCTGCAGATCCTGTCCCCAGGTGGACGGGGAGAGGGACCAAGGCCCGGGCCTGACTCTCTCCTGAGCTGGTGCCTCCTGGTTCGGGAGGAAACGCCCACCCTGTCCTCTCACTGTGCCTTCACCTGCTTGGGAGAGTTTTTCTTTCTTTCTATTTTTTTTTTAAATGCCAAGAGCAAACTTGCAAAAGGCACTTTGCTCCCGCCTTGGCCCCTTTCGCTTCCAAAGAGCTGAAGGCCTTGTTCTGGGGAGCGGGCTTAGCATGAGCATGGCCCCTCTCGGACCCCAGCCTGGGGGTTTCCTTTCTTTTCCCCAGCCCTGAAATGCCTGAGCCCCAGCTCAGTCACACACAGGGGACAATTCTCCTGAGCTGGCAATGGCAGCATCTCAGGCGGGGTATCACTCAGAGCCCAGGCCAAGGGCGTCGGTTTTCAAATCATCACAAGGCCCGCGTGGGCCTCCCCGTGGTCCTGGCCGCAGCCTCGGCCTTGGTGACACGTCCTGTGACCAAGTCTCAAACTCTGCGCTCCAAGTGCTCACCAGTAGCCCCTGATGAGCCCACCTGCCCCACCAGCCGTGTCTGCGATGAGCAAATGCATTAACATGCGCTGCCTGGCGCACTCAGCAGTACTAAGTACAAACTTCTGGAGACTATTTGAGGGCGGCTACGGCAGTTAGAGGTGTGCCTGCTTTTTTTTTTTCTTGCAAGTGTGAAACGACATTTATTGAGGAAGGACAAGATAGGTTCACCACAGAACGGCAAACAGACCCCTCTGTTGTAACCAAAGAGATGCGCCCTTTTTAACTTCGTTTGCATTTTCAGATTACACACACGCTCAGAGTAACGTCCCACACGGTGCTGCCGCCTCCATAAGGCCTCCCGACGTCTGTTCTGCGGTGACCTCGAGCGTCCAGGCTGACCCTAGGTCTTGGCTAGACGGGGTGGAGGGGTGAACCCAGACCCCAGCCCTGCACACACGGAGCCTTCCCCACACCTGGCGCTGAACGACAGGGCCCTTACCCCACGGTACCCACGCACCCAGCGCCATGCTGGCACACGGGGGCTCCATCAAAGGTCTGTTTGGAGTAGGGGGCTTGTGGATAAGTTAAAATGCACCTGGTTCCTGCCCCCCGAGTTCCTAGACTTTGATCCTATCACCACAGCCACCTTCTTCCCAGACCCCAGGGTCTGTTGTGTTGGTCCTGGCGTGGCTGAGGGACAGGCACAGAGTCCTCCTGGTCCCTCCTGTCACCTCTCACTGGCCCCTGCTGGCCTTTAAGGCAAGACTGGCCACAGAACCCGTGGGTCCAGTGCAGAAGACAACACTGAGCTCTTGTTCAACACAGCGCCAGCAGAGCACTGACCACATGGGGCACAGGACGACTGCCCAGTCTGCAAACCCAGCAGGCCGCCAGCACACCCCGTCCTCATCCTCCTAGGTGTGCAAACCCAAGGGATGGCAGGCAAGTCCAAGCTGGAACCTGGCCTCAGGATGCTTTCTGGCCCTCGCATCAAGTCACAAGGGTCCTGTCCTGCTGCGGCCCCACCATCACCCACCCAGAGAACGTGCGCAGGGCACCTGCCATCAACACTGGCCATGAAGCTGTGAAGGAGATGGACAGAGTGGCTGGCCCAGTCTGCAGTGATGGAGGACCCCATGCCCCCGGCAGCCAGCACCATCCCTGAGCTTCCCTCTTGCCTCAAGGAGGTCCCCTTCTCCTTTGTCCCCACCCTGGCTTCACCCCTCCCTGGGCTCCCCACCTCCTGCAATCTGTTTTCCTCCCAGAAACCCAAGGGATCTTTAAAACACAAATCTGATCAGTTGCTCCAACCCTCTTAAACCTGCCATGACTCCCCATTGCCCTTAAAGCCAGATGCAGCTGAAGCCCAGAGCCCTGCATGTGCACACGTGCACACACGTACACATCCTCCCCAGGCTCCAGACCCACCAGGCATTCTCAGCTCCTCTCGTGGGCTGTGCCCCTCCATCTCAGGGCCTCCTACTGGGGGCAGCGTCCGCCCAGCCCCCACCCCCATCCTAGTTAGTAGCTGTTCATCGTTCAGCTCTGGAGCCACCACCCCAGGGACGCCTGCCTGGACCCTTCACACTGGCCAGGTAGGTGCCCCCGCTTTCAACATCACTGGCTCCTCCTCCTGCTGCTCCATGGCCCACGCACGAGGGTGAGTCAATGACTGTGTGCTCATTTGCTGTCAGTCTCTTCCCCAGACAGCCCACGAGGCCGGAAGGGCAGGGCCAGGACTGCTGTCCTCTTCACCACATATCCGGGATCTGTCACAGCGCCAGGCCCAGAATCAGGCACAATCAATGCTGTGGCCTGGATTGATGACTGTTAGCAACATGCTGGGTCTCCCCCAGGGCCCTGAGCCCCAAAGGGGTCCCCGTGAGGAGTCTGGGGATGCCAGATTGGTGCTTCTGCTGGCCCTGCAGAGCTGCAGCTGCAACAGCCACTTGCAGGGTGGGCGGTCACTTCAGCACAGTACGCTCCTGACACAGCTGCGCCTGCCACATACGTGGAGCGCATTGTAGAGGAGACTTAGGGAAGTTAGAAGCCGGGTTCAAGGTCACACAATTGGGAAGCAACCAGGCCAAGGCCCACAGCCTGAGCCAGCTCTTACCACCTGCCTCCGATGGAACCTCGCCCAACACACGCCCAGCCCTGCACACACACACACATACACGCACACGCACGCACACACACACGCACACACGGAGCAGCACGAC